TACCTCTTCCCCCTGCCCTGCCTCTGTCCCTCTGTCACTCTCTCTGCCCATTTTGGCTTCTAGCTTTGGCTCTCGCTCTCTCCCTGCTCTGTCTACTCAAAGCCACCCTGCCTCCCCAACCCGGACAACCTCCCCACCACTCTCATGAGGACGGGCCGGGTCCCACATCCCAGGCCCCAGGCGGGGGCCTGCAGGATTCACCAAGGACTCCGGGACAACACTGACTGGGACCCTTGTCCAGGAGCGGGTGTAGACAGGGCCCACACTGCCGGCTGGCACTGCCCGGGCCACCCTGGCCAACTCAACCCACAAGGCCGAGGCAGGCTGGGTCAATGGCCCAGCCCTTTGCAAACCAGGCGGCCACATGGACCCTGGAAGAGAGACAGGGCCCTGCTCACAGGGAGATGATACTCCAGTGGGAGTGGTCAGCACTCAAATGATAAGACACAGATAAAGCTCCACAGCTGAGCCGATGCCTGATAATGCGGTGAGGGAGCAAAGCGGAGAGCACAGGAGCGCCGGGACTGGAGGCTGCCTAGGCTCGGGTGGTCGAGGTAGGACGGGGCCCTTCCTGCCGGCTGGGGCAGGAGGTGGCCCAGCCACACACTGAGGGCACACCGGCCCCCCACCCCCACTCCCTTGGGCCTGGGACTCTCAGCTTTAGATACAAGAATTCGAGGGAAAGAGACCCCTTTGCCAGGGGCTGTCCTGGCTCCGTACCTGGGTGCGCATCTGCCACGGAGCAGATGAAGTCTTATGTGTCTCCTCCAGAGCCTTACTTAGGTTTCTGGTCTCCCGCCATCGCTGGTGGGGCCCGGGAAGCAGATATGTCTTGGCGTCTCATCTCTCCCCTTCCCAGCCCATGCGGTGGGGAGGCCCGGGCGCGAGTGGAAAGGGGTCCAGCTCAGCCCAGCCCCTGCCGCCTCTTCGTAACGCCCTCCCCTCCTGGGCTCTACTCAGGCTGGGTCCACAGTCGGCCCGGCCTAGGTTCCAATCCCAGCTCCCAGGTGACCAGCTGGGTGACGTGGGGCAAATTACTTTTCTGAGCCGCATTAACTCATTTATAAAATGGAGATCGTCATACTGCCTACCTGGGGATTGTTGGGAGGATCTAATGGATAATGTGTATAAAGTGCTTGGCCAGCAAATGGTGGCTACTGTTCGAGTTCTTATTATCATTGGCATTACGATATCTTTTGCCTGGAATACCACACCAGCTCCCTAACGGATAAACAGGCTTCACTCCTACTTCTGCCCTGGCCCCACATGACTCTTCTCACAATAGCCGGTGTGATTCTGCTAAAACTCAATTAGAGCTGGTCCTCCCTCTGCCCAGGAATAGAGATTTGGGCTCAGAGAAACACCCAAACTCTTACCTACAGGGCCCTATGAGACCTGCGCTGCCCGCTCACACTGCTGCAGCCACCCCAGGGCCTTTGCACTTGCTGTTCCCTGCCCCTGCACCACTCTCCCCGGGCCTGGCTCACTCCCACACTTCCTTCACATTCCCTCTGACAACCCCATTTACATTTGCCCGCTCCTCCCAGCTTTGCTTCCCTCCCACAGCCCTTAATCACTACTGACTCGCTCTTGGTTGCTGGTTTTTATTTCACTCAGTGACTTCTCACTCTTTCCTGAGAGCAGAAATTACTGTCCAGCACACAGCAAGTGGCCAGTAAGTACTGGTCGAATGAATGAATAAGAACTGCAAGGTCACTAGAGGGAAAAGAGAAAAGAGCTACGTACTTTTTTAAAATACTCCCAACATACTACTCATTGTAAACCACTCCCGTACTGCTCTGAACCACCAGGCCTCTGCACATGCAGTTTGCTCTGCCGAGGACATCCCCCGCCCCCGCCGCCCCCCGCCGTTGTCATTGATGGCTACGTCCCCCATCAATGGGTCATTGTGTCTCCCAGGCCCAGGAGCGTGGGGCGTTTGGTGTGGCTGCCTGGAAGCAGGCCTGGGCAGGAGAGCCACACAGGAGATGGGTCATGCTGGGCCATACCACCATCATGACTGTTTTCCTGCCAAAGGAAGAGACTTGCAGAGCCAAATCACTTCCCTCAACTTACACAGCCATGTGGTGCCTGCATTAGAACCCAGACAACTCAGCTCTGTGGGGTGTGGGGATTTAGTCTTTTGGTGCATAGAACCTGTTGCACATAAAGGAGACTCAGGCTCCTTACCTGCCCACCTGCCCTCATCTCCTCAAGCCCACTGTTCCAGCCACACTGCCCCAGGCTCATTCCTGCCTCAGGACATTTGCACAGGCAGTTCCCTCTGCCTCTATGTTCTTTGGACATTTTTATTCTTTTTTTAATTAAAAAAATATATTTAAACATTTGATCCAGCTGGAATTCTTTTTTCAGGGGTGAGGGATAAGAAGTAAGAAAGAGATCCAGCTTTATTTCTTTTTTTCCCAAATGACTACCCTGGCAAGTCTTATTTTCTAACTGGTTCTATGCAGGAAAACTACATATTTAGAAATGTATAACTGGACATCTGGCTGAACTCTCATTATTTTAATAGCTTTTCAGATGATAAAAGTAACCATCTTTAGCAAATCCGCCTCCTCCCTTTAGTTATTTACTTATTCCTGTTTATTAAAAATATCATTGATCACCTCCTCTATACCCTTATTTATTTTACGCTGCCCTCTGCCATCAAGGCCTAGAGCAGTGAGTCACCACCCCGCCCAGACTGTGCTGCCGTCTGTCTCTCCAGGCATGTCTGGGGCTGTGGGGGAATGTTACGCAGACTCTAGATATCCACTACTGCTTTGACTCCGCTAAGGACTATCTATCAGTATGAAATGACTCGGGGTCTTAATTTATACTTTTGGCATCAAATCCCATATCGAGAGCTCTTTGTTTCTCTCTCTCTCTCCCTCCCTCCATCTCTTTGCATTTCCCTGGAAGACCTTTGCCCCCAGGTTTACTCTTAATCTTTCTATGTCTCTTTAAGGTATACCTCAACAACTAATCATATTTGATTTTGGTTTTTGATCAAATCCCATTTGGGGCAGAACCTGAGTTTCTGAGTTGGGACATCCAGAGTAAAGGAGATAAATGTCCTCATGAGGTTTTCGCTACTATAATCAGTCTCTCTATCTCCTTGAACATCTCTCTGCACACTTGGCCACTGTTTTGCTGTATATAAAATGAGTAGCTTAAACAAGAGAACAGCTTATTTACAATGCACACAGCATTGAACAAATGGTTCAGTGGCAGGCAGAACAGAACCAGTATGGCAGCTCTGTACCACAAAGCCTTAAGGTCTAATCTCCCCCTAGCCCCCACACCATCCTTCTTAGCACAAAACGACCACTGGGGTTCTGGCCATCTCATCTGAGTTCCAGACAGCAGGACAGAGGAAGGACAGAAAGGTACGCTCCCTCATCTTTAAGGAGACTTTTCGAAGTCCCTCACAACCTCACTGGCCTGGCCTCGATCGGCTGGCAGTGTACCACTGCAAGGGAGGCTGGGAAATGTACTCCTTTAGCTCGGTGGCCATTTGCCCAACCAAACATCTGGTCTCCGTGACAACTAAGGAAAAAGGGAAGAGTAAGTAATGGGAAGCAGCTAGCAGCCTCTGCCTTGGAATATTGTTCAACCTCTACCTTTTTGTCCTTCCCTATCGTTTCACCCATCAGAGGCAGAACTCTGCCTGAGTTGGAGCAGGGCAGCTCTTTTTTAGTGGGATTCTGCCTGTTCTATGCCACAGTCTGGTCTCAGGTGGGAGTGAGCAGCCAAGAAGCTGCACACAACTGAAGGGGAGGGATGGCAAGGGTCCTCCCCATGCAACAGCTGCCTGGAGCTTCCCTCCCTGGGTGCTCTCGGTGGGGGGCCCAGAGCCAGGCCTGTCCTGGGCTGTTAGTCAGGCCAGCCTCACAGGTGAGAGACAGAGCTTAAGCCACCTGCCCGAGTCCTCTAGACAGACCGTGGTAGAGCAGGACGGAAAGCAGGTCAGACTGCACTCTGCTCAGTGGAGGAAGGAAGAAAGGAGTTCACCTGCGGCTGAGAGTTCATCTGCGGCTGAAGAAGGTGTTTTGTTTGTTGTCGGATGACTTTTGTTTTAATATTTATGCAGTTACATGTGTGTGGAACCCGGAAAGGAGCCGCTGAGGTTGGGACTTTCCCAGGGGAGGCCTAGCCACAGGGAAGCTTCAGCAGCTTCCAAAAGAGAGCAAGGTTGGACTTGGGGGCAGGGGTTGGTCAGGAGGCCAAATGCTGCAAGGGACTGGCTCCAAATCCCACCTCCCTAGACCCCACCCTGTTTCCCATCTGTAAAAGGAAGGGCTTGGCCCCATCAACATTTCTCTCCAGAATGGTGCCTCATGGGAAACTTTTTTTTTCCTTTTTTAAAAAATTGTAATAATTTTAGTCATGTATTAAATTTAGTCATGTATTAATTTTCATGTGAATTGGACAAAAATGACCATGTCACCAAACCCGGCATTTCACCATGAGGGTGATAGCTAGCCCTCCGTAAGTACTTACCGTGCGTCAGACCCTGTTTTAAAAACATTAGCTTATTAACATTAACATATTTGCATATCATTACAATCCATAAAGTCAAGACTGTCCTCTCTTTACAGATGAGGAATAGGAGGCACAGAGAGGCAATATCACTTGCCCGAGGTCACCCTGCTAACCAGGGGCAGAGCTGGGTGCAAGCCCAGATCTTTTTGTATGTTTAAGGCTTATTTGTACCTTTTCCTCTGAACTGTTCACATCCTTTGCCCATTCTTCTATTCAGTCTTTTTGTTCTTAATTTCTACAAACTCTTTTTTTTTTATAAGATTTTATTTATTCACTTGAGACACAGCTATACAGAGAGGGAGGGAGAGCATGAGCAGGGAGAGAGGCAGAGGGAGAGGGAGAAGCAGGCTCCCCGCTGAGCCAGGAGCCCGATGTGGGGCTTGATCCCTGGACCCTGGGATCCTGACCTGAGCAGAAGGCAGACGCTTAACCATCTGAGCCACCCAGGTGCCCCATTTTCTACAAATTCTTTACATAAGAGGAAGATGTTTCTCTTGTCTATGATTTACATTGCAAATATTTCCCCCAGGTGGTCATCTTTTGATCTTACTGGTATTTCTGACCTTTTCTCTTTTTTTTTTTTTTTTTTGAAGAAGGTGTTTTGTTTGTTGTCGGATGACTTTTGTTTTAATATTTATGCAGTTACATGTGTCCAACTTTTCTTTGATGGTCTCTGGAATTATGAGCCACAGTTAGGGAAGCTTGCCCCTCTGGAAAGGTTAGTTATAAAAGAATTTGCCTGTGTTTTCCTGTCATAAAAAGCCAACTTGTTCACGAGAAGGGGAAAGATCAGGGAAAACCTGGGCTCCACAGCATGGTGTTTTGACAGACGGTGACCCTAACATTGCTCACCCGGCATTTTTCTCCACGGCGCCCCCTGCAGGCTGATCTGGGAGGAGGCGGCTTCGGCACAGGGCAGACATCATCATGGCCCTCCTGGTACACCTGCTGGTCTGCACCTTCGGGATGGGCTCCTGGGTGGCCATCAACGGGCTGTGGGTAGAGCTGCCCCTGCTGGTGACGGAGCTGCCCGAGGGGTGGCACCTTCCCTCCTACCTCACGGTGGTCATCCAGCTGGCCAACATCGGCCCCCTCCTGGTCACCCTGCTCCATCACTTCCGGCCCGGATGCCTTTCCGAAGTGCCCATTATCTTCACCGTGCTGGCTGTGGGCACCCTGGCCTGCACCCTCTTCGCCTTCCTCTGGAATGTCACCTCCTGGGTGCTGGACGGCCACCACAGCATCGCCTTTATGGTCCTCACCTTCTTCCTGGCCCTGGTGGACTGCACCTCTTCGGTCACCTTCCTGCCTTTCATGAGCGGGCTGCCCGCACGCTACCTGACCACCTTCTTTGTGGGTGAAGGACTCAGCGGCCTCCTGCCTGCCCTGGTGGCTCTTGCCCAGGGCTCGGGTCTCACCACCTGTGTCAATGTCACTCAGCCATCAGACACCACCCCAACGACTGAAACCACCGGGAAGACTGTCTTCCTACAGGTACCCGGCATGACCCATTACAGTGCTCCATGCTTGGTCACAAGGAAGACCGTGCAGAGGGCTTGTGTTTCCTAGATGTTGGGTAGACCGGTGTTCTTGACCTGGCTGCACATCAGATCACCTACCCGGGGGACCTACTGAAACACAGCGGTGGGCCCCACCCCATCCAACCAATGAAAGAAACTCTCTGGGGCGTGGGGCTTCTCAGAGACCCTTTGAGGTCCAAAGTGTGTTGGAATCTGGAGTTTCGGATTTTAGAACACACCTGTCCTGGTCTCCAAGAGCACCTGTGACATAGCAGTCCAGCACAGTGACGTCACTGCCTATGGCCCGGGGGGCATTCCTGCCCAGTGGGCACGTAGGCTGTAAATAGACTACCTCCATTCAAGTGTGGCTGCCAACTGAGTCATGAAAAAAATCCGAACTTTCAGAGCTTTTTGCATTTCCAAATTGCAAAACAGGGATGGTGAACTTGTATTTATTCAAAAGTCCTCAGGTGATGCTAATGTACTGCCAGGGCTAAGAACTGTAGCCTTTATTTATTTTTTTTTAAGATTTTATTTATTTATTTGAGAGAGAGATTGAGCGTGCGTGCAAGAGAGCACAAGCAGGGGGAGCAGCAGTGGGAGAGGGAGAAGCAGGCTCCCCGCTGAGCAGGGAGCCAGACACGGGGCTCCATCCCAGGACCCCGAGCACAAGGCAGATGCTTAACCGTCTGAGCCACCCGGGCACCCAGAACTGTAGACTTTAGACATTGCTTCAGTGCTTCGTGTTGTTAAAACGTCCAACTTTTTTCCACTGTGTGGACACTTGTGAAGTTGGACACTTCACATAACGCCTGGCATTGCCCAAACCACAGAGGTCCAGCCATGGGTGCAAACCAGGGGCCCCAGGGCCACCATATCCTACAAGCACTCCATTGTTGCTACCTGTGGCCTGACATCCCCCGGGGATCTGCCTGACCCTGGTTTTGTCTTTCCCCAGGGAGCTAACAGCACTTTGGTGTCTGACCTGACTGGGATGACACGTTCCGCCGTCCATCTGGAAAGCCGCTACCTCCCAGCCAACTTCTCGCCCTTGGTCTTCTTCCTCCTGCTCTCCTTCATGATGGCCTGCTGCCTGGTTGCTTTCTTTCTCCTCCAGCGTCAGCCCAGACCCAGGGAATCTTCCATAGAAGACCTCCTCACCTCCCAGATCACCCTCCACTCCATCCGGCCACGGGAAGGGGAGGACCTGGGCCCCCCAGACCCAGGAGCTAGCAGCAAGGCCCAAGGGCATCCAGAGGAGAAAACGGCCTCCGACCACCCAGCCCACCTGGCCTTCATCTACATCCTGGTGGCTTTCGTGAATGCGCTCACCAACGGTGTGCTGCCCTCCGTGCAGACCTATTCCTGCCTCTCCTACGGGCCTATTGCCTACCACCTGTCCGCCACCCTCAGCTCCATGGCCAACCCTCTCGCCTGCTTCCTCTCCATGTTTCTGCCGCACAGGTCTGCCCCAACTGGCCCTCGGGAACTCTTGTTGGATGCATTTTGTTCCAGAAGTCAGAATTCCAAACCCCAACTGTCAGGTTCTGCGCATAGAACATGGTTTCTAGGGCTTGACTGCCTGGGTTCAAATCCCAACTCAGCCACTTCCTAGCAATGAGGTCCCGGACAAATCACTTCACCTCTCTGTGCCTCAGGGATACTTACCTGGAAAATGGGGATAATAGTAGTTCTCCCTCCTAGGATTGCTGGAAGCATAAAATGAGCTAATTTGGTAAAGATTTTAGAGTACCTGTGCAGGGCAGGTCTAGCGTAGGTGTTGACCAGCCACTGGCCCTTGAGGAGGAATGCGCAGGCAGGAGCTGAGGTTCCCATTTATAAGTGGGAACCCCGAGGCTCACAGAAAGGGTCTAATCCCATGGTCTATTTCCCAGGACTTCAGCCCTGTCCTCCCGCCTCCAGCTCACTCTGGCTCCTTTACAGCGGCAGATCTGGAAGAGTGGCTAGGCAAATTGACAAAATGCAGATTGAGCCAGCCTAGATTGGGACCTGAGATTTCAAATTTTAGTACACAACCTAAGTGGTTTCGCTGCAGGGGTTCAGACCCTGGGAGGAGACACACGGACTTTGGGGTCATGAAACTTGAGGGCCCACAACCTCCCAGCCAGCTCTGTGCCCTGCCTGCCCTCATGGGCCTCTCTGACCCTGCTCACGCCCGCCCCCCCCCAGCTCAGGAAGGAGGGAGAACGAGAAGAGGAGAGTCAGACAGAAAATGTCACATTGCCAGAAAGCTGAATTTTCTCCCTTAGGGATTGAAACTGTGGAAGGAGGCTAGAGATTTCTGGGGAAGCAGAAGCAGAGTCTACAGATGTGTGGAAGAGGGGACATCCAGAATGTTAGAAATACCCAGTCTGAAAGACAGCGGCTCCAAGAATCTTGGAGCAGAAAGAGTCCTTAGAGGCAGGGGCAGGCCCTCCACTCCCACCCAGGACCCCAGGCAGCCTTGGTGTTCTGAAGAGTGTGCACAGGGAGGCCCCGGGAGGATAACCTCTAATGAAGGACAGTGTCCTCCGTTGTCACACCTAGAGCCAACGTGGGATCCCAGCCAGCCATCAGGACCCCTAGATCATGGAGACCTCAGGTTGTAGATGACACCAGAGGGGAAGGGGTCAACTGAGGCATACAGCACAGCCTGCAGTGCGAGACTCCTAGCCACATCCTTGTCAGCCAGGCTTCCTGGCTGAGGTTGGGCATGTTGCAGGAGGAAATGGGAGCCGGCGGAACACTGGGTGGGGCCCCGGGGCCCGGCCCTGCGCACTCCGTTCCACAGGTTCCGGCAGCCCTGCACAGCTCCTCGCGCTGGTGAGGAAGCAGGCTCAGGGACCAGTCTTGCAGCTTCAGTGGGAAGTGGAATCTGAACCAGGTCCCCGTAGCACCAGAGTCCATTCTGTTTCTCCTGCCATGAATGCTCAGGATGTCTAGACCAGTTTTGCCCCTCAGGAAGCTCACTGACCCGCTTGAGCCAGGTGGCCTGGAAGCTTCCATGTGGATCTGACCTCTAACCCTAGAGACGCTGACCATTCTATGCGGCGCCCCAGGGTAGGGGAGGCAGAAGTCAGGCTGCTCATCTCCTCCATTCTCCTCTTCTACTCTGCCCTAGGTCTCTGCCAGTTCTGGGGGTCCTCACAGTGCTCGGGACTGGCTTTGGGGCCTACAACATGGCCATGGCCGTGATGAGCCCTTGCCCCGTCATGCAGGGCCACTGGGCTGGAGAAGTCCTCATTGTAAGTACCCGGCCTGTGGAACTGCCTCCCTCCCTACCCCTCGCCTAGGCAAGGCGCTTTCTATTGGCCAAAGTCTTTGTGTTTGCGCCGGAAGGAAGCCCCAGGTGGGGTTGGGCAGGGGGAGGGATGCTTCTCCTTTGGGAATGGAGGCTTAGGAAGGTGAGGTGGCTGGTCCAAGGTGACATTCCAGCCTCTCCGCTGAATGCCACACTTTCCCCGCCATGTGTACCTCAGCCCTGGCTTTCTCCCAGATGCCCTTGACTTGATCACGAGAGGCACCAAGGCTACTGGGTTCCCCTTTGCCCTGGGGGGGGGTGTCAACTCATGCCCTCTTAGCCCTAGGGGGTCACCCCCAAAGACTATTGAACTTAAAGGTTATTCCATGGGGTTCCCTTAGCCCAGTTAGGTCACCCTACAAGCATCCTTCTCCCCTGGGGCTCACCCCAAAGCCCCCTTCACTCTGCATCTCTGCCGCCCGGTATCCGCAGGTGGCCTCGTGGGTGCTGTTCATTGGCTGTCTGAGCTACGTCAAGGTGATGCTGGGCGTGATCCTGCGCGACCGCAGCCGCAGCGCCCTCCTGTGGTGCGGCGCGGCGGTGCAGCTGGGCTCCCTCCTCGGAGCTCTGCTCATGTTCCCGCTGGTCAACGTGCTGAGGCTCTTCTCATCGGCCGACTTCTGCAGCCTGCAGTGCTCCGCCTAGGACACCTGGAGCGGTCCAGGACAGGGCCCTGACCCGCCCCCATTACTAACACCTGGGAAGTTGAGCAGGGCACATGCCTAAGGTCACAAGGGCAAGTGGCAGGGAGCTGGGAGGCCCAGGCTGAGCACTTAAGCAATCCCCGCCAGCTCCCCTCAGGAACGGTGGAGAACGCCACAAGGCCCCCCACGGGACCTGGAAGTGCAAAGCACAGCCCTCCCCCAGTCTGTGTCACAGTGCCCGCAACTCCATTGCAGAACTGCTTCCGACTCTTGAGAGAGAGCAGGTTTGCAGCACCCAGCTGGAGGCAGGCTCAAGAGTGTCCGAAGGGCGACGGCTGAGAGGGTGAGCTAGCCCTCACAGGCTGTGAGACCTCGGGGAAGTCACTTATTTCTCTGTGCCTCGGTTTCCTAAAATGGGGATTATGATAAATAGCACCTACCTCATAGGCTTAGCACAGTGATAAAGGGGAGAAGCGCCCAGCATGTAGCAAGCCCTCTTGGGCCATTTCCTGATCTGCTGCCCGACAGAAATAACAAGGGACAATCTACACAACGTAGAAGTGGCCAGGGTGGTTGAGAGATGACCCCTGTCCCGTTTCCTTTTTCCCACTCTCCTCGCAGAGAAGCTTCTAAAAGACAGATGGCAAATGGTGGGACCCTGGGCATCCTGACGCCCCAGTTCCCAATATGGATGGACGTTGTACCCCACACACCCCTTCCTGTCACCCCTCCTGACCCACAAGGTCCTGCTCCTTGGAAAGTGAGTGACCTCCTGGGAGGCAGAGAGATGATGGGGGGAGGGGCTACACCAAAACTCTGGAAGTGAGTCCCCTCCCCTCCCCCACTCACCAAGGCCAGGATTAGACCCTGAGAACCCCGGGAAGTCTGGGAAGGAGTGCATTCGCTACCTGACTGTTCTTTTGTTCTCTTTTTTTCTTTCTTTCTTTTTTTTTTTTTTAGATAAACATTTCCCTGCTTTTACACTAAAATCAGCCCTCCCAAGAAAAAGTCTAACATGAACCCCAAAATCAGTATCATCAGTTTTCAGTTAGTTCTAAGGTCAAGGCTAAGCTCAGAAATTAATAGAATCAAGTGCTTAGAGAATGTCTGGTCCTGGGACTTCTTTTCTTTAGTGGTGTGTTTGCTTGCCACCAGCCCTCTTTTAATTTATTGTGAATAAATAATGTAGTCACATGTTTCAAAAATCAGAAAATACAAAATGTTCAGCAAAAAAATTCCTTCTCTCCTGTCCCCCATCTGCCCAGTTCCTCTCAACACACACAAAGACACACACGCATGTGCACGTGCACACACACAAGCACTTTTACTAGTTTCTTGTTCACTCTTGCAGAGTTATGCAAGTACAAATACAGACTCTTTTTACAGAAAAAGTACCAAACTACCGTGTACCTTGCACTTTCGCTCAACAATTAAAATGGAGAGAAGGTTCTGGCTCTTGGTCGTGACCATATAGTATTCCATTGTGGGGAGGTACCAAATTTATGGAACCAGCCCTCTGTAGAAAGACATTTGAAGGTATTGGAGACAAAATTTAAAACAAAAATCTCCCGCCAACCAGAAAACCTCTCCACAAAAGCAGAAGAGAAAGAAAACCATTTTATTACTAAATAAGCGTTAAACCAGATTATGGGTGCACAGCACAGACAATCAACTGAAAAGCTTGCAAAGGCAGAAAGAAACCCCTCCTTTCACATCGTCCAGAAGATACAACCTACTACATCCATATTCTCAAATGGTAGCTGGTCCTCAAGGGAAGGTCACATCGTTCATCCTGAATTCGCCTAGTAATTGGGATGGCTATCGGGGTTAGCTAACTGTCTTTATCCGCAGGAAAAAGAAATTCATGTCTTCATGAGGAGGTTTTTCGCAACTTGAAGCCAAACACTGATGTTAGGCTCCTACCCTCGCCCAGAGGCTGGGTGATGGGGGCACTGACTTTCTTCACGTTTACATTATAAAGAGATGGTCTTATATATATACATTATAAAGAGATGGTCTTATATACGTTATAAAGAGATGTCTTTGAGAAAAGTGATCCTGGGAGGTAAAAATGGCTAGAGGCTTATTCAGCTTTTTTTTAAAAGACTTGAATAGGAGCAGGGAAAAAATTTGCAAGTTTTCTAAAGTAGATGCTCTAAGAAAAGGGAGAGGGGATGTCTCCCTTTTTGGCACCAGGGAGAAGTTTTATTTGTATTTGCCCTGACAAGGGCATTTGGGTTGTTTTCAATCATTCCCTCCCAGAAAGGATGTTGGAGTGGATAATGAGCAAGGAGACGATCTCTCTGTACTGATGTGAGAAGATGTTCCAAGATTATTTACACACACAGAGAAAGGGGATGCAGAAGAGCATGCAGAGTATGGAGTTAGCCATGCTAATGGGTTCTGTCAAGGACTAGGGGACAGGGTGACAGGGTATTTGGAAAAGGCACCTCCGTGAGTGATGATGTTGAACTTCTTTCCATGAACCTGTCGGCCATAAGTATGTCCTCTTTGGAAAAATGTCTGTTTGGGTCTTTGGCCCATTTTTTAAAAAATATATTATTTATTTGAGAGAGACCCTAGCACAAGTGGAAGAGCAGAGGGAGAGGAAGAAGCAGACTCCCCACTGAGCAGGGAGCCTGATGTGGGGCTCCATCCCAGGACCCAAGATCATGACCTGGGCCGAAGGCGGACGCTCAACCCACTGAGCCACCCAAGCACCCTCTTTTGCCCATTTTTATTTGTGTTTGGACCTCTCTATGGTTTTGCTTTCACCCACCATCCTTGGAGGTCTTTATGACATTGACAGCCTTTAAGCGAAGGCTCATGAGTCCGCTCTCCACAGTCTCCTCCGTACAATGGGGACAATAAGAGCATCTCCCAACCGGGGTTGCTGTGAGGGTTGCATGACCTTATTAATAAGTGCAGTGAGCTTAGCGCCACACCCGCAAACAGCAAGTGCTCAATAAATGTCATTAAAAGCTTCTACTTTCTGAGAACATCTACTAAAGACCCTGGATGGCCCTCCCGCCCCTGCCCTCCCCAAGTTAAACCCGGTTGCTAGGGTGACCGAGTCACCTGCCCTCTCTGCCCTCCAACCAAATAAGTTCCCTGAAGAATGAGCTCAGGACTCTGGATTCAGCCTGGGGTTGGCAGCAGGTGGGCGGGTTCCCCTAGGATGTCCCTGAGCTGGTATCTTAGGGCAGTGGGAGGGAAGGGGGCAAAGCCAGAAGGAGGGTGTGCTCCCGGCAGCAGAAACTGACTTGCAAAAGCTGTGGGGTGGGGGGCAGCAAGCAGCTTGCAGAGGGAGGGACCTTAGAGGCCAAGGTTATGAAGGGGTGGAGGGTTGTGTTGGCCTGTATGGGGTTTGGGGGTGGGTAGTGACATTGCAAGGACCACAGCAGATGCGAACAGGTTCAGAAACTACTACAGGCACCCTGGGGCGGGGGGGGAACGGTATAACACACAGACTGAAATACACGATTTGTCCTTTCTGTTGGCCTCCTTAGAATTTTTTTCTGGTGATGGATGACTGACTGAGCATAGGGTCTGTACAGAAAAAGGACAGGGTGACCCTCCTTTCATCCCAGGGTAGTGGATGGGAGCTGAAGGGGTATGAATATGGGGAGGAGTGGGGTTCTAGCTTCTGCCCAGAGAACCAGAGCAAGAGGGGCTGCTATGGTTTGAAGTTGGCCACCCAAAATCCCGAAGTGGGGGGTCCCCAGAAGACATTCCCTCCCACCATTTTTCTGGAGTAGTGAACTCTGAGAGACATTTACCCAGAGCCTCCTAGACCCGAGCACAGAGAGTGCCTCTCCCTAAGAAGGGCTCAGCAAATATAGTTTAGGGGTGAGCAGAATGGCACCTCCAAAGATGCACACACCCCAATTCCTGAAACCTGTATATATGTTACATTGCATAGCAAAAGGGACTTTGGTGATGGAGTCAAGGTTACAGACCTTAAAACAGATTATTTTGGATTTCCTGGGTAGGCCCAATCTAATGACATGAGACCTTAAAAGCAGAGAATGGGAAGAGATTCAGCAAAAGGTAGGAAGAAAGAGGCAGCCTCATACAATTCAATATAAAAAAAAAAATCCCATTAAAAATGGGCAAAAGACCCGAACAGACATTTTTCCAAAGAAGACATATTTATGGCTGACAGGTTCATGAAGAAAAGTTCAGTATCACTCATCATCAGGGAACTGCAAATCAAAACCGCAATGAGACAGCACCTCACAACTGTTAGAATGGCTCATATCAGAAAGACAAGAGATGACAAGTCTTGGCGAGAATGTGGAGAAAAAGGAACCCTCGTGCCCTGTTGGTGGGAATGCAAACTGGTGCAGCCCCTCTCGAAAACAGTATGGAGGTTCCTCAAACAGTTAAAAATAGAGCTACCCTAGGATCCAGCCATCCCGCTTCTGGGTATATATCTTAAGGAAATAAAATACCTCTACCAAAGAGAGCTCTGCACTCCATGTTCATGGCAGCACTATTCACAGTAGCCAAGACATAGAAACAATCCCACTGTCCATCCACAGATGAATGGATAAAGAAAATGTATTATGCATACATGAATATTATTCAGCCTTAAAAAAAAAAACAAAAGGAAATGTTGCCATTTGTGGCAACATGGATGGGGCTTGAGGGCATTCTGCTAAATGAAATTAGTCAGACAGAAAAAGACAACTACTATTCCATCTCACATGTGGGATCTAAAAAAAACGGAACTCCCAGAAACTGAGAGGAGATGGGTGGTTGCTGGGGGCTGGTGGGGGCAGGGGGAATGAGGAGATGTTGGTCAAAGGATACAAACTTACAGTTATAAGAGGAATGCTTTCTGGGGATGCAATGTAGAGTGGGGTGACTATAGTTAACGATACTGTATTGTACACTTGAAAGTGGCTAAGAGAGTAGATCTTAAATGTTCTCACTACACACACACACACACACACACACACACACACACACACACACACACGTGCTCAAACTCCTCCTCTGGAAGTGAAAAGAAGGAACAAAAAAATG